CCTTCACCAGCCTGACCTTCACCAGCCTGACCTTCACCGGCCTGCCCTTCACCAGCCGACCCTTCACCAGCCTGACCTTCACCAGCCTGCCCTTCGCCAGCCTGCAGGGTGTTGGCCCTGCCAGGGCAGAGGCTGCCTTGCTCTGACCTCGATAGGACTGGAGAGGCCTGGAAGGCCCTCCTCATCCCCGCACCCTCTGGGGCCTGTGCTCCCACAGCCCCGCACGGAGGCCTGAGCCGAGGCGGGAAGGATGGCTGGAGCCCTGCCTCCGTGGTCCATCGAATGATCCACGCTCTTCCTGATGCGCCTCTGCATTCTCCCCGCCAGCCCCGCAGTGCAGGTTCACTCTCCCACCTCACAGGAGAGGGGCGAGAGGCTGCGGGAAGTCCCGTAGATGGGATTCAAACTCTGGTCTGGGGGCCATACGAGGGCACTGCTAGCATATATGGCGCTTGTGTTCACCCCTCTGGGTAGGGGCTGCCCTGCACCAGGGCCCAAGACGTGCCTGGTAAGATTGGCCCCACTCACCGCCTCATCCAGGCCACCCGTGCAGGGAACAGCCTGCACAGCCATCCGTGGCAGCCCTGCCCCATCCTGTCCACGAACCCTGTGGTCCAGGCTTCCTCTCGGGGGTCCTTCTCTGCAAACTACATCTCCCACCCTCCAGGATGGCTTCCGGTACTTCCTGTGGGGTGCTGCCTTGAGCCCACCCCCGCCTCCCCCTCGCTCCTTAGGGTGTAACTGGGCTGCCCACCCAGCCTCCTCCACTGGAAGCCTCGCTTCTCCTCGCCTTCATTCAGTCAGTCAACAACCTTTATGAAGCACCTGCCACGTTTGGGGTTCCAAATGCAGCCTACGAAAGAGAAAACCTACCAAGAAAGAGAACCAGCCCCGAGTCTAAGGTGGCATGAGAGAGACCCAGAGGGTAAGCTGCTGCCCATCACACAGTGTAAGTGACTCCCACTTGGCAATCTGGCAGTCCCCAGATGGGTCCCCTACACTGCTGGGTACCACAGGCCCTCGGAATCCATGGCCCTTCTGGAGGGAGGGCCCACCTCCCCCCACCCCACCCCACCCCATGCCCAGCCCCAGGTTTACCTGTCTACCTTGCTGGCTGGGGGTAGCCAGGAAAGTCTCACCTTGTCGCCTTGGCTCCTCTTTGCCTTGCCCTTGCGGGCTGTGTCAACATCCAGGGAGATGTCTAGAGAGGGATGGAGAGGAGTTGCCAGGGGCTCACTGGGCCCCAGCTTCTGCCTATAACATCCAGGTGGGGGGAAGCTTTGCCCCTCCCCAGGCCCCTGAGAAGTGGGAGGCCCTGTTCTGGGATGCCCTTGCGGCAGCCCCGTGTGGTGCTGGGTGTTGGAGGGACCCACATCTTTGTGTCTTGAGATTCTTGCTCATCTACACTTGCTGAGTTGGAGGCCCTGACTCCCACGGTTGGGGACCAGGCCTGAGGCTCTGGGTGCTGGTTGCGTAGCTCTCGGGGCCAGCTGCCCCGGTGCTCAGGCTGGGGGGGCACGTGGCTGTCCAGGGTGTAGTGCTGGCCTGGGGGTTCCAGCGGAGGTAACAGCTCCCCGACCTCCTCCTCCCCACTCTGCACCCCTCCCCCTTGCCCACTCTGCTCCAGCCACACTGACCTTCCTGCTCTTCCATGAAACTGCCAGGCTGTCCTGCCCCAGGACCCTGGGTCTAGCTAGCTGTTGACACAGGGGCAGTGCAGTTTCTAGATTCCTGTGGCCCTAAGTATTGCTGGGCCTCCATCTCTGGTGTTCTAGGGAGCCACACCCCTCAGTGGTGGAGGAAGCTGGCCATGGGCTTGCACTCAGGGCCCCCCAAGACCCTCCACAGCCACCACGGAGGAGTGTGGGGATATACAGAGAGCCAGGGAGGCGGTACGTACCGACGCCAGTGAGGTAGAGCTCACTGCGGCCCAGGGCATGGTCCTCGCTCTGCCCGAAGTAGGAGACCTTCACCTGTGGGGACATGGTCAGCCCTAAGCCAGCACGGCTGCCTCTTCAGAGATGGCAGTGACCAGGGTTTCGGGGGTGACCCACACCTCCCAACACCCCTGCTTAGAGGCAGGGCAGGCCTGGGGTCCCCAGGTCCTCCCTGCTGCTGCAGGCCCATGTCTCACGGGCTCCAGGCTTGGATCCCAAGCTGCCTCCTCCAGCTAGAGAGGCTGTGGGTGCCTCCCCAGCTTCCAGGGCTGGGCAGGGTGGGGGCGGATTCTAGAGGGAGCAGGTGGACCCTCAGGAATTCATGGGGGATGTCAGAGAGAAAGAATGAGAGAAGGACCATCCATCGCCATTGACTTAGGCCAAGTTACTCAAGGCCTCTGTTTCTTCGCCTGTAAAGTGGGAACAATGACCTCTATCCCATAATAACAGCCAGTGGTGATGAGCTTTTCCCAGGATCCAGAACCCATGCCAAGTGCTCTCTCCAGGCCACTTCCACGGCCCCCCAGAATGGCCCCAGTAGACAGGGCCCATGCGTAATGCGGCCGCTCAGGGCCCTGTTGGCAGGCGCATAGCACCTCAGCCAATCAGGCAAGGTCTGAGCCCACGGCAGGCCCCAGGGCCTCTGCTCTCCAAGGCTGCGCAGTCCCTGCGTTGTCCCTGCCCAATCAGGTCACTGTGTGCTGGGTGGCCGGGGCAAGTGAGGAGGCTGTCATCTGAGCCAGAGAAGACTTCCCAATGTTTTAGGTGTGGGAGACGCCGCACATCTAGGTGTGCACCTGCGTCTGCCCAGGTGCGCGCACAGGTCCTGCCTACACCAGCGTGGGGGACTTGTTAGGGCGTCCGTGTGTAGGTTGAGCACAGGATTAATGCGGGATGTTTGTGAACCTGACGGGAGAGCAGGCAGGCTGTGTTTTCAGGGAGAATTCATTCATGTGGACGTGTCACGTTGGGCATGGGGTGGGCTTGCGTGTTTGGGGTGTCTACGGAGTTGTATCAGGATGTGTCATGTGGACGCAGGTGTCAGAAGCCTTACGGGGTTCGGTTGAGTGGGGTGATACGTGAAAGAGGTATGCTTTGGGGGCTCTTACCTTGGGTGCCGGTGGGGAGGTGCAGCCCCTTCCTGTGGGGAAGGGCCTCTTACCTTGAGATCATTTAAGGCCTTACTGGCTGTGTCCACGGATACAGTCAGGTCCACAGTGGTGTCCAGGGGCCAGTGGGCTTTGTCTGTGGGCACTGCCACCCGTGTTGGGTCGTAGACAATGAAGATATGTACCCCGGAGCTCCCAGAGACCCTGAAGGTCTCGGCGCCCTTGGGCACATCGCTGACAGAGAAAGGAGCGGGGCAAAGGTCCGGGGCTCAGGAGTGTGACCACAGCAAGGCCACCCAAATGCCACCCCAACAGCTGGGCTGGGGATGGTGGGGGAGGGCCACAGGCCAGGAGGCCAGCCTGGCTGGGCACTGGGCAGCCTAGGCCATCCAGCTGTCCTCTGACCTTCATGTGACTCACCCGGGCACATTACCCCCTGGCCTCAGTCTCCCCATCTGTAACAAGGGGGTGGAGCAGAGCAATGGTGCTGAGCTTTGTTTAAGCCAGTGGTTCTCAACCTTCCTAATGCCGCGACCCTTTAATACAGTTCCTCATGTTGGTGACCCCCCCAACCATAAAATTATTTTCGTTGCTACTTCATAACTGTAATTTTGCTACTGTTATGAATCGTAATGTAAATATCTGATATGCAGGATGTATTTTCATTGTTACAAATTGAACATAATTAAAGCATAGTGATTAATCACAAAAACAATATGTAATTATATATGTATTTTCCGATGGTCTTAGGCGACCCCTGTGAAAGGGTC